CCCCCCCCCCCCCATGACTCGGGTCAACCCCGTTGATTACTAAATACCCCCCTTATCACCCGGTAAACTTTACTTACCCTCCTCCTTCACAACATTAACAGGGCTATTCACAAAAGGGTGAAGAGTTTGGAGAAGGGAGGAGAAATGAACAATCTAGGACAAAATAGATGATTTGGAAAAATTCTCCAATTCAGCTCACTTTCCAGTTCATCTATGTTGTCCTAGATTGTTCACTTCTCCGGCCGTCTCCAATCTCTCCACCCTTTAGTGAATAACTCTGTAAGTCTATGCAAGTAAAACTAAAGCACAGATAAGACCAAAATGTTTGCAATTTTTTATAAATATATATAAGGGATGCACCAATACCATTTTTTCAAGTACAAGCTCTGATACTTGTCCAAGTAGTCACAGATACGAGTACTGATAAATTTTTGTTTATTGTCATGTGACAGTTTTTCTAAAACAATACAGACTAATGATTTCAGGACAATTGTGGAATGCATTCACATACAATGTACCACCCAAGCCTTGAGATCTTTAACCCTTTGTTAGGGAAGACAGTCCTGCACATTTAGTTTATAACTGGTAATGAGATCTGCCAGCCCAGTACAGACAGGTTTAACTATGGTAAACATAACTCTGCGGCTGCAACCTTAACATTACATAGAAGAGGAAAGCCAATTTTTCAGCAAGTAAAAAGAATGAAAAAAGGTAAGCAGCAATTTTAAAATATATAAATGCAATGTGAATGGAACATGTAAAAACACTAAAGTAAGTGTTTTCCTATTTTTGTTTCCAAAAGTGGATATACAATTTAAGTAAAAACATTCTAAACCTAAATATAAATTAGAAAATGAATGCAGATAATGAAACACTGAGGTGTGGTTACTTACAGTGCACAAACAGTTCTAACTGCTTCATCAGCTCAATAAAGTCAGGGCTATCAAAGTCCAGCGCTTCGCAGCGATAAACCCCAGAGTCACCTCGAGATATGTTCTGAAACTCATGAACTCCAGTAGAACCAGACTCAAGTTCTTCCTCTTTATTATCCTGAAATGGAACCACTGTTATATTAAACACAGAAGTGTGTAATGCAAACAGTCCTAAATAATAAGGCGGCAGTGCAAACCACAATACCTAATGGCCATAACCCACAGAAACCAATAGGAATTCAAGTATTACTGACTAAAGAAATATCAAAAAGAACATG